CTGCAACCTAAGGAAAGTGGGCGCGTTATGAGAAACACACCTCTGGAATACTGCTGAGGGTTAACAGCAGTTCACGTGCTCCTTCCTTTTGTGTTTACCCTGCTGGTATATAATTTGCAAACATGCCCTAGAGATCTGGAAAAAAAACCCACAAAAACAAACAAACACCCAAACCAAAATACACAGAAAGGTTAAACCAGCCACAGATTAGCTTTTCCGTACACTGTATGGTAAGCACTGGGTTTACACCACCAATCCCTGCATAGCAAAGTGCCAGGAATAAAGCCCTGGTAGGGATTGTCCAGATCCTCACATCAGGACCCTTTAAATTGCAGGCAGTTGTTGAGTACATGTTTAACACAGAAAAGCCCACAGCACCCAGGAAAAAAAGAAAAAATCCATCAAATCTAAGTCTTGCACTAAAATCCAGAGATCTGGCATTAGGCTATGGTGCAAAAACAAGGTGAAGTGACACCCTTTAGGCTTCCTATCACTCCCAGCCATCTTGGGATATTAACTGACCCCATTGGGCTGACAAGGGAAATAAACCAAAATAGTAACATAAAGTAACAACTCTCAGCATTTATTGCTAATTACTAGTCAAAGTAGAACAGCTTCAGGTTGGGAAGATGAAACTGAGTTCTCCCTAACAAGAGGTCAAAACCAGTCTGCTGTGGCGGGATTGACACCCCAGCCCAAATTGCAGAGTGGGCACTCAAAGGTGGGTACCAAGCTAGGCTCAGGTACCTGTTTTACTACAGAATTTATGGGTTGGAACATGAGATGCCTCCTGTTTGCCATCACCTACATTTCTGAATACAGAGGCACCAGGGTTCTGGGCCCTTAGCAAAACCCCTGGAATGAACGTCTCAGATGAGCTGGAGACAGTCGGCCTCTCAGCAGGCCAGTTTGCAGCTGGGTTTGAGGTCTCTTAAACTGTCTCCACTTCCTTGCACAACCTACCTGAAAGCTGAAGACCCCACTAGATGGCAGGACCGTTTAAGCCTTTGCTATTTCTACTTCAGAGCAAGCGCCCCAGCGGGCTCAGCCCCACTGGTCTGTGCTGTCTGGACTGTGGGGTTTATAAGCTGTGCCAAACCAGTGGAGAAATCCATGCAGAAATCTCTGCTCAATTCCTTTTCACAGGCTTTATCACACACAGAGCTCCATCAGACCGTAGAGAGGAATACAAACTAATCCTAATTTGCTAAATCTTTAAGTATTCCTCTTTGTGTGTGTGATACATAAAGGATATTTGGCTTACTGATGGTTAAGTGTAGTTTAAATCTCTTCTAGCCTCTGCTCTGCTGTAATTTTTAAGTAATGCAAGTGGAGTTATAATTTTGTATGATCACCATTGTATGAAAGTTGCAAAACAGAGAAGTGGCCGCTGTGGGTCAGGTCACAGATGGATATAACTAAGTAAGATGTCTTGGATAGTGCAAACATTTCCACTGATTAGCTTCCTTGCCTCCAAGCATTTGTGTTTATGGACTTTCTGAATCGGGAAATATTTTCTGTTTGATTAGTAACTCATGACTTAAAACTAAAGCTAGATATAACTCACAGTGTAGCTAGTATAGAACCAATTTTTGTCTTCAGTGATAACTAAATTTGGCCTGCATATGGCTGCACTATCACTGATTTGGAAATTTCTTTTAAAATACACTACCTTGTGAACTGCTTTGCCACTCATTTCATCCACCCAAGTTCAGCCTATGCAGTACTGCACCAAAAAGATGGTACATAGCACAGGTACATATCTGTATGAAGAATCAGCAAATAAGCTTAATTTTAAAAAATCCTTAATTACTTCAAATTATCTAATTAACATTCTGATAATCAGTCCCCTACTTCAAATCTATTTAGTCTTTTATTACTTTTCAGATAAAAAATTGAACTCTCCTGTTCTATAGGAACAAAAGATGTGCCTCAGAATATATATTCATCCACCACTTAAAGGAAGCTTATGATGAAGGGCTGACCCAAAGAAAATTACCCTCTTAATGACATCTGGCAAATATCATGGTTAATTTTCTGTATATTCAAAATACCTAAATTGTTTTATATGTGCACAATAAAATTACAAGGGTATTTCCTGGGTTTTTTGTTTGTTTTGTTGGTTTTCTTTGTTTGTAGTTTTGTTTGGTTTTGTTGTTTTGTTTTAAATATGCAGAGTGGGTAAGAATAGATAATTGTTTCATTAAGTTTTAAAATTTGGAAACAACAAAGTTAACTTTTTTCTTGGTACTAAAATGAAATTCTTTATAAAAGCTCAGAATAGTGCTGTACGATGATGAAAAAGTTACTATTGCCTATGCCGCACTTGCTGGAATGGAAATTGGGATTAATGCATTATAATACCAGATTAGCCTTAATAGAAGTTTGCTGCAGTAATTTATCAAGGTAATTAAGTATGTACCTAATTTTAGGCACCTAAGTAGTTCTGTTGACTCCTGTGAGACTAGTCTGCATTTTAAGTTAAGCACGTTTTAAAATACCCTGCTGATTCAAGGCCATAACTTTTTGGCCACAGTGAATTAAGAGAATGCACTGTCCTCAATAACCCATTAGTTAAGCTAATGGGAGGTGGTACAGACTGGATAATGGTTGAAACTGGATAAACTGGCTCAATGAAAAGTATATTCAGAAGCACTTCATTTGTTCTTTACAGGCTCAGCTGAGATTTAGTAGGTCTATTACCTATTTTCAAGATACTAACAACAACATGAACCTGTTGGAGGCGATAAGGAGGAAAGAGAAAAATATGAAGCATGGAGACGTATTTACAACCCTTAAATGGACTTTATGATACCGGACTGGACTTTTAATACCAATAATGACACTCACTAGATACGTCTGTTGTACCCCAGTTGTTCCCCAGTTTGTTGTTATGATGTTATGCAGTTCTATGTACCCCTGTTGTTGTTTTAAAAATTTGTCCACCATATTGTCCCCTTCTTCTTCCCTCAGTTTTCCCGCCTTTTCCCCTGCTTTCCTGCTCCTCTGCCTGCCATTGGCTAGGTTTTGGTGCAGTGCAGAGGTAGCTCCCATTGGTCCCTTCCCATGGTCACGCCCAAACTCCTCCCTCCTTACCTGATCATCCAATCACCCTCTCTCCTGAAGTTGTCAATCCCATGCTCCTCCTCAGTTCCAGATCCTTCCCTAGACCAACCCTATTTAAACCCCTGAGTTGCTTAATAAATTGGCATTGCTTCACCAGACCTTCGACCGTGTCTGAACCCTTATTCGCAGTGCTGTGACCCTATCCCTTATCCCAGCGGGTTGCGGCATGAACCAGAGCTTTCCCAACTTTGGCTGCGCTTAAGACAGTAAACCCACCTAAACCCCAGATTCCTGGACAGCATGGAATACAGTCCCCCCAGACAGCTCTAAAGGGGCTAGCTCCCATCTGCCTGAGTCAAGCATAATGCACAACTAATAAACTCTGCTCGTGTTCAAAGATTATTTGGCACAATGTCTCCCACACCAACCAGTTTGTGGTTCAGTTTATACTGGTCAAAAATATTCACCTGGCTCAGAATCTGAAAGATTTGAAAAAATCCAGGCATAACTAAATATTCCTCTTCTATTTCTGAATGAGCTCTCTCATGCAGTCTAGACTAATAATTGTTTAGACGCAAACAGTACATGCATGTGGCAAAGAAGCATTTCTGTGTCTGTAGCTTGGTTAATATGCAACTAGGTAATACACGTGTACTACTGTATAACATATAGATATTTTAGAAATGTTCATCCCACTTTTAATTGAGTTGCATTTTAAATCTTAGTTTTTACTACTTAGGTATTTTTTTCAAATTTTCTGTTAAAATTCTTCTTTCTCCAGGGTGTTGAGCACTTTTGACTAGTTCTAAGCTATACATTTGTGAGCAGTTAACTCCATTTATGTATATAGCTGTGGAATTATTTTTATATAGAATTTAGCACATGAATAATTTGCTAAATTCAGCTGGTTCATAATTGGTGTTTTAATAGTAAAAAACTTCAAATCATCTTAGGCTAACAAAGTACTAAAAGTATCTATTCCTGTAGCCCAAATTTCAGTGTCTATATTCTATCAAAGAATCTAAATATACTCAGTGCTGCAACTGCAAAAGTGCAGAATTCAATATAGGCTGTGACCCAGAAGAGCACATTAGCATATGCTCCACCCAAAGCATATAAGGAATTCTGTTTCAGTAATACTTGGTTACTTGATTTCCATGGGATCATTATAGCTTCTTATAATTTGCCAATTTTATGTACTGTAATGCTATAAAGGAGGTTGGTATAGGAGAATGAGACTGTAACCCAGAACAAGAGTGCATGCCACAAATATAGTTGTCTCCAAATCCCTCTCCACTGTGGTTTTCAATGCTGATCCTCCTGCATCAGCTACTTCAGTCTCTCAGACTCTCTTACGTCACTTGTTTTTCTCCAATGGAGTAAGTTATTTTACCTTTTCAAACCTGAAAAAACCCCTATGATGTTGCACTTGTTACATGAATACAGGTTAAAGAGAAGGGAAGTAAATGTCAGTTCAGTTGCAACTGGATCCTTTATTGAATGGTCCCCAAACAGCAGGGCATGAGTAAGTGCACAGCAGGAATGGAAGTTGTACAGAGAGGCCTCTTACAAGTTCTCTGCCAGCTGTAGAATACACAGATATTTTATAGATGGAATACCAGTCAAATGTGGAATGTACCCATCAAAGATGCTTCCTCTGTCTGGCTAAAACGCAACAGTGGGCAAATAAAAGCATGGTTAGGTTTCACGATGTATGTAAATGGCTGCTACCCAGGCTATAGTGAAGGTGCTTGCCTGTACCTGAATCTTAGGTCTCCTACAATAAGGGAATGAATGCCAAGTATTTTCAGGAGCATGACCTCGATAGCAAAACAATTCCTTTCAAGAGACAAAAAGCTTTACTTAAAATCTTTGTAAAAATCACAATGATTGAAACATCTTCATTGTCAGCAAACAATAAAGCAAACTCTAGATAAAATAAAAGAAGCATGTATTATAGGGTTTTGTCATACAGGAGAAACATCGAGGAATCAACCCAAGACAGAAAAGATTATAGATAATTAATTTCCACAGTGAGATTAAACAATATTCATCATATACAAACATGGCTACTTTATTTTAGATACACATGAACAGCTACAATATTCAGCTTGAAAACAAATTACAGAAGTGGCAAGACTGTAAGAGTGGGAGATATGCCATAATCAAATAGCGCTAAGGAGAGTTTGAAAACAGTGGTGTTTAAATAGTTTACAAAACCTTTTGGAGACAGGAAAAGGAAAGAAAACATTTTCTTTTTTTTTAATTTCTCACACCCATCTACATATGTCTAATGAGAACAAAAATCTCAGGAGATAAATTACAGATAATGTCTGTAATCTAATATATACTTAATATCATGGTGGAGAGAGTGAATACACCTCTGTGTCAGAGAGAAGCTGTTTTAGGAAATTAAGATACAGGATTTTTATTTTGAAACAATCATTCTTGGAACATCTGCTAAATATATTAGTTGGAACTGTCAAAGAAGATTAGTTAGGATGAATACTATGACCATGACAAAACCCCAAACAAGAGATACATTCTTTAGTTCTCTTCCCATTTGGATGTGTAGAACACTGGTTTTGAAGGATGACAGTATTAAAAACAGTATGTCATCCACATTAATGTCATCTAGATACAAGTGTGTTGCAAAACCATGTCTATGCTCCTAAAGTTGCTACCACACTTCAGAAAGGGTGACAAAGGGAAGCTGGAAAGTCTGTTGATAGGTTTCATTAACCCAGCAGTCCTTAGGTGTTAGGAATCATTGCTTTTTTGTTCCGCCTCTTGACTTTCCAGCAAGGCTTTGGATGATGGCACTTCTCCACCCTCTGCTCCTGCATCTAAAAATAGACAGAATTAAATATTTATACCACACACATTCTCATAGCTTTTTTAATGCAGCCAAATATTTGAGTTCATCTCTGTTTGGACTGGCTCTTTATTACCACAGTCCTGGATGCTTTAGAAACAGAAATTAACTTGCAAGATAAAGACCTTGCAGAGGATCTTTCAAAAGCAATTGCCTGTTGGTGTTGATTTGTCTGTTCCTTGCACAGACTGATCAATGTGTATTTGGCTTTAAGAAACAAATTGGAAATAACTCTGTATTACTGTTATTCTTTTTTTACATGGGTCATTTCCATAGACAAGTTACAATATTGCATTCCTTTGAGCACTGCTTGGTTTCAGGTAGATAATGTTACAGTTTATGAACATGCCAGTTATCTGTCTGACCTTCTTTGCCAAGAAATACCTATGTGAATTCACCCTGTCTTCACAAGAGGAGGGATTTTTTATTACTCTGATTTGGAAGTTTGCTCTTCTATAGATTGGAGTTGAATTCTTACATGACTAATATACGTAAAAGCTCCCCAGTGTGCCTGGTCATTATATGAAGAGTTCCACACTGTTTCTTTTGATCCTCAAGTTTAATCACTAAGAAACAGGAACTTCTCTTCCCTCAATTTCCTTTATAACCATAATAATTTTCACATTACCTTCAAGCCCCACATGGCAGTACCAGAGGTAACAGAATACCCAAATCTATGGCAGCACATAGTTTTTGGGGACAAGGAGAAGTCTACTCTGGCTGTACCATCTTCTACTTTAACAGCAATAATCCAAGGAGTACATTTTCAGCTATTTGCCCTGGAGACTTGCTATAAAATATCACAAACACCCAAAAGAGTTACATGTCTTGATCTCTACATATCATAGCAAATATATAATGCTGTACACAATTCATCAGCTAAAGCTGTTGGCAGCAACTGATTATGTTTTTAATTCTGGCTAGACGTTTAGAGGCTTCGGAGGTCTATACTGGTAAATAAAGAACTGAGTTATTTGACACCCTTCAACATTAGGTGTCACAGCACTGTTGTGGTAAGGTAGACAAAGCAATATCTTCTATTGGCTGTTTCTGTACAGGGTTGGATGTCTAATAATAGAGGAGTCTTGCAAACAGGGTAGAGGAAAACGGTTAGAGGAAATCTAATCTCATAGTTGGTAGCACTTAGGTGTGCAAACAGGTGTTAAGCTGCTGAGTGTATCAAGATAGTTATACACAGTCACCTAGGAAAAAATCAGCAAACAATAAAGGTTATTGACAGAATGGTGCCTTAATGCAGATTACCAAATGTGGGAGACCAGTATAGCTTCTTTGCTCTCTCTTTGCGTCTTGCAACCTCCTCTTCAACCTTTGGATCACCAGTGACACCAATCAGCTGTTTAACTTGGTTCCAGTACAACCTCCCACCAGATCACCTGTGGAAATTCTCCACCCTCCAAAACTTATGCACCATAAGAGGACAATCAGACAGGATACAGATGGTCTTCATTTCAGAGTTAGGCTCCAAGATAAACAGCTGGTGCCAGAATCTCTCCCTCTAATCTCATCAGAACATTAATGTGGTGTGGCTTGCAGAGTACATGGACATCTGTATCACACAGCTACTATCCTTGTATAAATAAAGCAAATCTCTTTTCTAAGACAGACAAAAGGTATTAGCACATCCTGTTCCTGATTTTTCACTATGACAGGAGCTGAAAGCATTTTAGAAAGAGGAAATGTATGATACAATGAGTATTAGCTAAATTTGAAACAAGATGGAGAGAGTCCTCCTCACCACTTCCCATAATCTTCACTGAATCTGAATTTCAGAGCAGAAACAAAATAGGGCATACTTTATATAGCCACATGTTCCATCTTCTGCACTTCTCTCATTTATCTAACTTCTTTGTTCTGAGCTGCAAATGACTTTCAATTTTTAACAATTCATTGTTATAGCCTGAAACAGGCAAAAAGAGATGCCTGTTTGAGCTCCAAATGTTTTGCAAACAAACTCCCTGTCACAGTATTTGATCTTCAAAATTGTCTTTCCATTTTGATGAAGTCTTCTCAATTTGCTTGCTGCCTCATCAAAAGTTCAACTTACAACACAACGAGGCTGTAATTCCTATCTGATGCTTATGGAATTGCCATCCCCAAAAAGCATCCAAACAGTCAGTGAACCTAACTGCATCCTGTATTCATTTCCTATTATCACTGCTGTAAACTGCTGATAACAGAATCTGCTCCCTTCCAGCAATCTCTGGCACAGCTATATGGCAATGACAAAAACAAAGTACAATTCCATGATCTTAATTGTTCTTCAAATCTCAGCAGTGCTGGTACCTGTATTTGTAAGAAAGCATCGCTACATTTTGCTAAAACTAACATAGCTATGTTTCATTTCTTCCTCTTAATACATTGGATGGGTACTAGGAGAGGAGGACTATTCTGTCTGGAGGGCTAAATACTTATTTTATACTATGCTGTAACATTTCTTATAACAAGATTTTCCCTCTCTCCCGTTTATTTTGGCGAGGGGGGGGGGAGACTGAAGAGAGAAAATTTTTATGCTTTAGAAAGTATATTCTTTCCAACTACTAAACTTTCCAGAGGCTAAAGTGAAACAAACATGAGAAACTTATCTATAGCTGTTGTATTCTTTTGTGGTCTAACATGGTGCAACTCCCTCAAGATTCACTTCTCTAGACAATACAAAGGCTAGTTACCCCTAATATAGCAATGAATATTTCAGTGGATTGAACCTGTCATTTCACTTCCACAGCTCCTGACACTAATAACAATATGAATTCCCATCTATCTCCCCTTTGGTAATGGAAACAATTCTTTCCTGCTGAAGCCTGACCATGCCAGGCAGAAGAGCTATTTGGAACAAAAAACCCCATAATATTTGAAAACCAGAACATTAAATGTTAAGTGACTGTTTGTACTTCAGAATGGATTTCCGGTGCTTCATCTGCACACACCAGAAGGAGAAAATCTGCAGGGACATAATGTTCATATTCATAGCGAAAAAAATCTCTCCTTGAGACAAAGAGTTTTAACTGGACTCACAGGACTCCCAGCTTTACTTTGATTGTACTCTGTCACAGGAATCCCACCTGTTCTTCCAGATTCTCCTAGTTCCCCTCACTATTACCCTGCAGCCTGAGGGTATCTGACCTTGCCATCTTTCACAATTTTTTCTTTATTTCCACCCTATTTTCTTCATAAATCCTTGCACCTTCCTTTCTCAGAAGTAATGTCTTCTTCCAGCACCCATTTAGATTCTTATTTTCCTCTCTTTTCCCAGTTCAAGTCAGGGTAAGGTCATTTGGTCCCCTGTCACACCTCCTGGAAGTGTTCTTTCCACCTGCCCAGCATTCCTTTGATTAGATCCATGTTTGGTTTAGATTACAGAACCCCAAATACATGAATATAAATTAAATCACCAAAGCAACGACAATTTGTGATCAAATAAATCCTCCCCCCCAGCCTTTATGGTGCTTTAGGAAGCTGTAAACTCAACATCGTGTAATTGCTTCAGGCAATGTAAAATGAGGACATGCATCCTCATCTCTCCTATAATCTACTTCAGATTCATGGACCCTCCACAACTCAGTGCAGGCTTGCCTTTCCCTGTGCTGCACCCACACCATCACTGCTCCTGGATGTGGGACCATCAGTTGTGGTGGCATTTGTCATGGCAGCAACAGTGATGGGCATGAGATGAAAAGGTTTGCTGAAAAGATTCTGATTAAAAAAGTAGGGGCAAACCATGTTTAAGGTCAACCTATAATATTCACTTCATATGCATTAGAAACCAGATTTTTCTGAGTATGAAAATCCCCCTGAAGTCACTCTGAAAGTAAAAAGCTCACATGCAAAGCTGGTGTTGATTAGACCTGTGCTAAATTAACAGAGCACCTTATCAAATTAAAGGACATGGCGAAATTGGGCACTGGTCTCAGATAGCAAAGTTGAAAGCCTACTATCAGGAGTAAATCACTATAAACCTTACTCTTAATGTATATGCCTGAGTTAGGTTAGCTGTCATTGGATTAACACCACAGCTCGCTGTCTTGTGCTGTTATCTCAGTGCAGGAGTACATTTGAATTTATAGCTGGAGCGATGGGTTTTCCAAGTTGCCCATCAATGCAACTATGTTTGCTCTTCCTAAGGGGAACTGGAATTCAGTTCCCAGCACTGAACTGTTTCCCCAGGCTGCTGAACACTGAATCTGTGGGTGAATATGGCAGACTTAGTCTGGGTTACTATTAACTTGTCTTATCAGGAGATACAAGAGAGAACTGCATTGGAAGGTTGAACTTATTTATAAATGAAGAAATAAATGTCAGTATTGACATCAAAACTGTGTGGTGGCAGAAGTCTTAAAGAGAAAGCAAAGGACGACTGCATAAAAATGTTCCTGTCTGCATGTGCAGCCATTACCTTCTGAAACAGAGAGATCAGCCAGTTTGTGTGGCAGGTCTGAAGTCCCAGCACCAGCAGGAGAGCCCAGGATATCTGGTAAGGCGTTGCGGCGCCCTGCCCGTCCTGATGCTGCAAAATCTGTGACCACAGGCTCCACATCAGTCATTGCTGATTCCTTTCGTCATAGCAACGTCTGCAAACGGAACAAACAGAAGAGGCAAACAGTAGCCTGATGGACGCTAATCACCTGCTCAACAATACAATAGCCATAGGCTTTGCCCAATGGTTCTTTTGTTATTAAAACCCATACATTTCAATACTGAGTGCTTAAGCTTTATTTCTGCCCCAGCTGAAGATAAAAGAACGTCTGTCCATTTCCTTTGCACATCACATTAGCACTATGAACAACTCTGTACTTACAAACCTGTGAACAGGGTCAGCAGCAGCCCTTTCTGCCAGCCATCTGTATGTCTTTTCATGACCTGTTCCCTTTTTTTAAGTGGTTTTGCCATACAACTACCTGGAAGGAAACTGAAACTCTGTTGTCATAGTATGTATGAAGCAAAGCATGTTTTCTTTATTATCAATCTTGCTCAGACTCTTATTTACAATCTTGTTAGAACAAACTCGTTTCACAGAGGAGCAAATTATACAAAAAAGACCTCTCAAAAAACAAACTGAAATTTTTCATAAAATTTCTTTATCCAGCAGATACCAAACCACTTGTTTTCCTCTACTCCTCGTTAGCCTGGTTGAACTTCCGCTTGGGAATTTGACTTTTAGCTAATAAGTAACTGAATCCTTGAAATAATAGAGTCAACAGCGCTCTACTCCCTTGTTCCCTGTCTCAAAGCCCATTGAATTGAATAGGAAAACTGCTGACCAAAATGGGCTTTGGATCAGGCACGGAGGTGTTTGCAGGATCACACCCTAGGGCAACAGATTAAGTGAGAACACCCTGAGTAGAAAGAGGCGATACTTGTCTGCAAGTGGCACACAGGGATAGTGTGTGAAAACTGCCATTAGCAGTCACAAAAGACTATCAGACCAGAATTTACACAATAATTGCTGATAATTAACAGAGTAATTTCTAATAATTAGGCATCTGTTACTCAAAAACAATAGTTACTTGCCCTATATGAATGCAGTTCTGTGCACAATATGGAAACAGGAATTTTGTCTCTTTGGGTAAATACGGTCAGTACTTTGAGTGAGAAGGGATACAGATGGAACCGGAGACCAATCCGATGGAAGGCTGTCAGCTTCTGTTTGACAACTGTCCGTATTTAGGATAAGAACTGGATAAGGAAAATCACAATCATGTTAGTGTTTTTAGTGTCGTTCGTGTAAGAAGCAAAGCATCATAATCCCCTTTCTAAAATTCTAAGGTTGGGAAATATTAGTGCTTTTATTTCATGGAAATAAAAAATTATAGAAATAGAGATCAAACACGACTTGCTCTGATTTGCAGGAAGGAAGGAGCAGAAATTTGATTACTGATGCTGACTTGGCATTTGCACCACAAACATTTTCTCCCTCAAAGTGCCTTTCAGCTGTGTCACTCCAGAAACAAGAATAAATATTCTTCATCTTCTTTATATCTCTAAATACTTTGTAATAGAAGAAATGCATAATTTTTGGTGAGAAATGAAGGCACGAGTAAAATCTGCAAGTCTGAAAGATGACCTGAACATACAAATAAACCACTTTCTTTAACCAGAGTCAGTAAGTAAAAGTTCTGACCTGGAGATTTAGCAGAAGGTTCCTGTCCTGCATGAAAACAGGTCAAGTCCAAATGAATCTTTTCCATAAGTGGCAAGAATATAAAATCATGGATATTCAAGAATGCAACTTTTGAGAAAATACATAAAGTACATGCATTGACATTCTCAGATATAGCACTATACTATGTATTAATTAAAATGGCTAAGATTCAGTACTTGACATGTAATATAAAAATAAGGAGAAAGAATCCATGTTTACAGACAGTCCCATGTTTTTTTGTGCGTGTCCATATTTACTTAACTGTAGGTGTTCTAAATGTTTTCTTCACATGCTCACCAGAGCAAGAACAGAAAATACTTGGGATCTTCTTTTGTTTAGTAAACCTGTTAAAATTTGTTCCCAGTTCTAAAATACGCTATTGCTGCAGTTCCTGCCCATTTCATTTCAGCCATTTATACAGTGAAGACAATAATGCTGTTGCGAGTTGACTCCTGTCCACATGACGATCTACAGAATGACATTAGTGTTCAAACACACCAAAGACTTTCTCAAGCCTGCCTTGTGGAGTTTTTTCCATCTTTTCTCTCCTGCATGGATGTTTTGGTCCCTAAATGTTTACTTTTTAAATGGAGAAAATCTGCTCTACAACTCACGCTATATTAAACTACTCTCTTCTGCAGTAGAGTTTCAACTTACCCACCTTGTGTACTTGTTTTGAATCCCTCCCTCTCCTCTCCAGCACACCTCTTTCTCCTATCCTCTTTGTCCTATGATGTAATCTCCCTTCATTGCACAATACTAGACAACACAGGAAGATGATGAAGGACACATTCTGACACACCTTTGTGTAAGTGAATTTTGATTTATGCACTTGATTAAAAAAGTGTGCAGAGACAAATCTAGAACATCTGTCAGACAGAAAATCAGCTGATCATTATCAATACATCTGCTGGCCATAATTCAAATGGAGTTATGTAAAAATAATATAAGTACACCATCCTTTATATACATAGTGGTTGTATGTTTTCACCTTTGTTTTTTCTGTGCTACACTATGCTAGCACAGGATGTTCTTTAAGTATATTTGAGAGACGAGGGACTATCACAGCATGCTTAGAATTGACATTTAAAAACTTAAGTCCATTTAGGTCCATATAAATCAAAACTTAAGTTCACCTCCAAACATATGACAGACGTTATTCAAAACAGCTTGCTGCTGTACTTGAAAGAAATGGCATTTTGTTCTTTAATGTTCTAAGGAATATTTTCAATTTAATTCTGATGCTCTCTTATAATAGTATTTTCTAGGGCCTATATCCAAGTAAGGATGTAGAGTTTCTCCTCTTCATCTGTTTCTACCTTTAATTTTTTAAACATATCCATCAGGAAATATCTACCTTTCTGGCATCTTCTTGCATCTGTTAAGCACAGTATTATTCATCCTTACTCACAGAGTAAACAATAATTGCAATGTGCAAAGCACCTATTTTCTCAATTCCACTCCTCCTCCTGCTGGCAACATCTCCTTCAGCTTCACTGAACCCATTTTGCTCTAGCCTTATCCAAGATAAAGATACTTATATCTTGCCAACTCCTGCATGCAGTTGCTTCTCTCAGTTTCCAAATTACTATTATCCATTTTCTCCCGTGTCACTGCTCACCAGACTAACAGAGCACAGCTCTAAAAGAATAGCACCAGATTTCCAAAACAGAAACTTCTGTTTCTGTACTTCCCCAGCTCCCTTTTTTCCACAGCAAAAACCCAAGCTACCCAAAAGTATAAGGAGACTGCGTGGAAACAAAGAGTTGGGTAGGGATGCAGGCTGTTTGCAGGAGGGTCAGTAGTAGGAAAGCAGATGGATGTCCCAGAAAAGCTCATCTACTAAAGTTAGAGACCAAAGGCTTTGCCTGGCCTCCCATCAGTACTCCATGGCACCAGAGTAACTTTGAAACTCATTCCTGGGCCAGGTTTTTGGGAGCACTAGGTTAATCCTCTCATATGTGCCTCTGAAATCCCTGCAGGACCACACAGAATGCATATCAGACCATTCAGGTGTCGTCAGAGACTGAAATGGTTAATGATTTACACATTCTGGGACCGCTAGGGGACTTTTGCAGGCTGGGAAGAGACGGTTGCTCACCCAGCCGGGCCCATCCTCCTGAGGGTGCTGCTGAGGTGTAGAGGACTGAAAGGTGGGATGAGCCGTTTTTGCCATGCCCTTCAGGTGAACTCTGCACATCTGGCCTGGGCTGTTGGAGATGTTGGAGGCTCGTGGCATGGCCCGTGACACTACCCATGGTAAAACTCCCCACCCCTGAAAGTACAAGGTAGTCGCACCTGAGCGTGAAATATATAATAATTCATAACTTCTTTGAGCGTGTGGGTTTCCCTTCCCCACCCCCAACAGATCAAGACCACCACTTCAACTAATAGACATGGAAGCTGCAACTACCAAGTTTCATCACTGGATCCAGTGGGCAGTGACTATATATATCTTTCCACCTTTATCTTTTCTTTCCCTTTCTCTCTCTTATGCATTTCCTTAAGTGTTATCCTTATGCTCTAATGATTGATATACTGCTATAGATGATAGATATAGATGATAACACCCAAAATGGCAACATACCTGTTTACCTTTGAAACAAAATTGTTCTAAAATAAACCCTACATATATATGTTTTCAAACACCGATTATTCAGTGTCATTTTCACTCTAATCCACCCCAAGGGATTAATTAATAAGAACTTGGGTTATCCTCCGCTTCTTCTAGGGGCAGGTCAAAACAGGTGTGCAAGCGGAAAGGAAGTGCTCTGCTTGTGAAAACTGGCTACAATGAAAAGCAAAACTCAGTTACTGATGTATGAGACATTCAAGTAATCATTCTCAGACAAAATAATGGCAGGTAAACTACTAGTGACATTTTTTCTGAGAGACAGCTAGTTTGTTAATCTTTGAATCCTCTTTTGTTGGCAGTATAGCCAGCCCTTTGGAGGAAAATGAGTCACAGAAGCTGGTAAGAATTTCTTTAAATAAATGACAAAGGAAGAGAACAAATAAGTCTCCTGAAACAACTTGCGTGCAGCAACAAGAGAAATAATGCTTCAAGGTGCTCAGCTGTAGCGGTCCACATGAAATGTCAGTGCTATCTCTTCCTCACTCTTATCTGTTAGGAAGAAGATAAATCACCACCTTAAGTATTTGTGAAAGCTGTTATTTCTTCTGAGCTTTCTACTGTCTCACACAGACAAAATACTGATTTTGTTCTTCTTGGAAGGACAAACTGTTCCTCAGTAAATGTCAAAAGGTTCCTGACATTGGTATTGTGGCAACTCCACTCCACAGGAGACTGAAAGACCAAACATATCACTCCTTGCCACTCAGGCATTCTGTCAAAAACTCTTGTCTTAGGTCTTAGGAACAGTCTCTGCCTGTAGCAGAGAAAGCTACACTTCGCAAACACTGTTCCTT